TATTCTCTGATGGTAGTTTGTGTTTCTGTGGGATCGCTGGTGATATCCTCTTTATCATTTTTTAATGTGTCTATTTGATTCTTTTCTGTTTATTAGTCTGTCTAGCAGTCTATGTATTTTGTATTTTGTTAATCTTTTCAAAAACCAGTTCCTGGATTCATTGATTTTTTTGAAGGGTTTTTTGTGTCTCTATCTCCTTCAGTTCTGCTCTGATCTTAGTTATTTCTTGTCTTCTGCTAGCTTTTGAATATGTTTGCTCTTGCTTCTCTAGTTCTTTTAATTGTGATGTTAGGGTGACAATTTTAGATCTTTCCTGCTTTCTCTTGTGGGCATTTAGTGGTATAAATTTCCCTCTACACACTGCTTTAAATGTGTCCCAGAGATTCTGGTATGTTGTGTCTTTGTTGTCATTGGTTTCAGAGAACATCTTTATTTCTGCCTTCATTTTGTTATTTACCCAGTAGTCATTCAGGAGCAGATTGTTCAGTTTCCATGTAGTTGTGAGATTTTGAGTAAGTTTCTTAATCCTGAGATCTGATTTGATTGCACTGTGGTCTGAGACACTCTTTGTTATGATTTCCATTCTTTTGCATTTGCTGAGGAGTGTTTTACTTCCAATTATGTGGTCAGTTTTAGAATAAGTGTGATGTGGTGCTGAGAATAATGTATACTCTGTTGATTTGGTGTGGAGAGTTCTGTAGATGTCTATTAGGTCTACTTGGTGCAGAGCTGAGTTCAAGCCCTGGTATCCTTGTTATTTTCTGTCTTATTGATCTGTCTAATATTGACAGTGGAGTGTTAAAGTCTCCCACTATTATCGTTTGGGAGTCTAAGTCTCTTTGTAGGTGTTTAAGAACTTGCTTTATGAATCTGGGTGCCCCTGCATTGGGTGCATATATATTTAGGATAGTTAGCTCTTCTTGTTGAATTGATCCCTTTGCCATTATGTAATGCCATTCTTTGTCTCTTTTGATCTTTGTTGGTTTAAAGTCTGTTTTATCAGAGACTATGATTGCCATCCCTGCTTTTTTTTTTGGTTTCTATTTTCTTGGTAAATATTCCTCCATCCCTTTATTTTGAGCCTATATGCTTCTCTGCATGTGAGATGGGTCTCCTGAATACAGCACACTGATAGATCTTGACTCTTTATCCAGTTTGCCAGTCTGTGTCATTTAATTGGGGCATTTAGCTCGTTTACATTTAAGGTTAGTATTGTGATGTATGAATTTGATCCTGTCATTATGATGCTAGCTGACTATTTTGCCTGTTGGTTGATGTAGTTTTTTCATAGCATTGATGGTCTTTAAAATTTGGTATATTTTTGCAGTGGCTGGTACCAGTTGTTCCTTTCCATGTTTAGTGCTTCCTTCAGGAGCTCTTGTAAGGCAGGCTTGGTGGTGACAAAATCTCTCAGCATTTACTTGTCTGTAAAGGATTTTATTTCTCCTTTGCTTAAGAAACTTAGTTTGGCTGGATATGAAATTCGGGTTGAAAATTCTTCTCTTTAAGAATGTTGAATATTGGTCCCCACTGTCTTCTGGCTTGTAGAGTTTCTTCCCAGAGATCTGCTGTAAGTCTGACGGGCTTCCTTTTGTGGGTAACCCGACCTTTTCTCTGGCTGCCCTTAACATTTTTTCCTTCATTTCAACCTTGGTTAATCTGACAATTATGTGTGTTGGGGTTGCTCTTCTCGAGGAATATCTTTGTGGTGTTCTCTGTATTTCCTCAATTTGAATGTTGGCCTGTCTTTCTAGGTTGGGGAAGCTCTGCTGGATAGTATCCTGAAGAGTGTTTTCCAACTTGGTTCCATTCTCCCTGTCACTTTCAGGTACACCAATCAAACGTAGATTTTGTCTTTTCACATAGTCCCATATTTCTTGAAGGCTTTGTTTATTTCTTTTCACTCTTTATTCTCTAATCTTGTCTTCTCGCTTTATTTCATTGAGTCGATCTTTAATCTCTGATACCCTTTCTTCCGCTTGACCGATTCAGCTATTGATAACTTGTGTATGTTTCATGAAGTTCTCATGCTGTGTTTTTCCACTCCATCGGGTCATTTATGTTCCTCTCTAAGCTGGTTATTCTAGTTAGCAATTCGTCTAACCTTTTTTGAAGGTTCTTAGCTTCCTTGTATTGGTTTAGAATATGCTCCTTTAGCTCGGAGGAGTTTGTTATTACCCACCTTCTGAAGCCTACTTCTGTCAATTTGTCATTCTCCATCCAGTTTTCTTCCCTTGCTGGCGAGGAGTTGTGATTCTTTGGAGGAGAAGAGGTGTTTTGGTTTTGGGAATTTTCAGCCTTTTTGCACTGGTTTCTCCCCATCTTCATGGATTTATCTACCTTTTTTTTTTTGATGTTGGTGATGTTGATAGTCTTCCTTTCTGTTTGTTAGTTTTCCTTCTAACAGTCGGGCCCCTCTGCTGCAGGTCTGCTGAAGTTTGCTGGAGGTCCACTCCAGACCCTGTTTGCCTGGGTATCACCAGTGGAGGCTGCAGAACAACAAAGATTGCTGCCTGTTTCTTCCTCTGGGAGATGCTAAGCAGAGCTATCCTGTAGGAGGTGTCTGTTGGCCCCTACTGGGAGGTGTCTCCCAGTCTGGATACACGGGGGTCAGGGACCCACTTGAGGAGGCAGTCTGTCCTGTATCAGAGCTCGAATGCTGCACTGGGAGAACTGCTGCTCTCTTTAGAGCTGTCAGGCAGGGACATTTAAGTCTGCTGAAGCTGCACCCACAGTCACCCCTTCCCCCAGGGACTCTGTCCCAGGGAGCTGTTGGTGGGCTCTGCTTAGTTCAGACTTCCTGGCAGCTTTGTTTACACTGTGAGGGTAAAACGACCTACTCAAGCCTCAGCAATGGAGGATGTACCTCCCCCACCAAGCTCGAGCATCCCAGGTGGACTTCAGACTGCTGTGATAGCAGTGAGAATTTCAAGCCAGTGGATCTTAGCTTGCTGGGCTTCGTGGGTGTGGGACCCGCTGAGCCAAGCACCAGAGAAAATTTCCTGTTCTGCCAGTTGTGAAGACCATGGGAAAAGTGCAGTATCTGGGCCGGAGTGTTCTGTCTCTCCCGGTACAGTCTCTCACAGCTTTCCTTTGCTAGGAAAGGGAAATACCCCAATCCCTTGCACTTCTCGTGTGAGACAATGCCCCACCCTGTTTCGGCTCACTTTCCATGGGTTGCACCTACTGTTCAGCCAGTCCCAATGAGATGAACCTGGTACTTCGGCTGGAAATGCAGGAATCACCCGCTTTCTGCATCCATCTTGTTGGGAGCTGCAGACCAGAGCTGTTCCTATTCGGCTATCTTGCCAGCTGTCCATCCAAATATGATTTCTTTGAGTAGGTCAGCCTTGTATTTGATATGTAAAATAAAGCCTGCTGAATTTTTTGATAACAGAGGAGAGACTCTTAACTCCAGTACACTTCCAGGTATATTTATGGAAGGAAATAAACCATGAATACTGTATTGAGATTATATTATATATAATCAGTTTATACATTATTATGAAAAGGAAGATACCTTTATTTTACCCTTTTCTAGATATTAATGCTATATTTATTCTTTTTTAGATTGCAGCTTCATATGGTAATGCTGTTTGTATATTTGAGCCCTTGGGCATAAATTCTCATAAAAGAAATTGTGTAAGTATTAACCAATAATAGAATACTTTTAGAATCTAGTTAACTTTAGAATCCAATTGATGTTAATAAAAGCTCCTTAGGAGCTAGTGCTGAACGTAGACTAGAGTATCAGTGAAAAATTGGTCTAGTGCTTTATGTTAGGATCCTTACATTCACTGGGGATACATCCCTAGTGCTTTTAGAAACCCAAGTCTCTAGAATATCGCAAATTGAGATTTCCTGTGTTAATTGAGATCTACCCTAGTTTGAACTACTCTTATTTCTTATCTGGATTACTAATCTCTATCTGATATCTGGTTTCCTGCTGCCTTCAACCCCAGTCTCTATTCTCAACAGAGCAGGTCATGACATTTCTCTTCTTAAAAGTTTGTAATGGTTCCATATTTCTCTCTCTCTTTCTTTTTTTTTTTTTTT